ACTGTATTTGTATTATTAAATAATAATTGATTTTCAATTATTATGTTTTAATATTTTCCTACTGCGCTTTTATAACATTTATTAATAAAAATTACGAATAGGTGCGTGAAATTCATGTGCTTATACCAAAACGTATTCAAATATAATTAATAAATCTGGAATTTCAATGTATTTACAAATTTTTTTTACATATAAAATCGTAGAATTGTAAGTAAAAAGTTTTTCAAATGAAATGATACTGATTATTTTAATATAATTTTTTTGTTCTGAATCCTTTGATATTTTTAAAATATTTGTTTAATTATTGTGCTCCGTGATTATGAACTCCATTAGTATAACTGAGAATTTTTATTATTGTATACTACATAAAACATTATCGAATTATAAATAAATAGTGTATAGATAAGTGAAATAAATTATTTTTCATGTCGTAACGGTATCAAAATAATAATTTCAATAAATACATTTTTTTTTACATTTTTATACTATACAAAATAAATTAAATTACTTATATTTTTACAATTAACTTTGTATAATTAAGATTCAAGATATTTTTGGATATCAAAATCCCAGCCCTAACATATTTAACATATATTATTAAGTAATTCTATTACAGAGTCATTATGCGACCACAATTTTTCATTCTTTTCAGCCAACTTTCGAACGGTTTTTAGAATATACGAATAGAAAAATAATAAACGATCACAAGACACAACAAAAATAGCAATAACAACAATGTTATACGCATGTGGTTGAAAATTTCTGTGGTCAAACCGAATAGACTGGCCTAAAAAAAAAAATAATAATAATAAAAATAATAATTGCTACTCGTTTTCCCAAAGAAAAAAACTCTGTCTTGATCCCGACTTTGTACATTTATCGCATTTTATAAGCGTATAAAATATAAGTAATCTTAAAATAACATTTTTGAGCATACAATAATATTGTAGTGGGCCCAAAACAAATCTCCAGACGTCGTCTGGTCATCACTGATGCATCCGGATCAATAGCAGCTGCTTTAGCGGATAAATTAACACGACAATTAAAATGCACTCGATCGGATTCTATTTTTTCAATTCAATAAAAACATATTCGTGTACTAGTGTTATATATTCTCAGTCTAAATACTGCATACTCCATTTATTAACTTCTGCACTCTGGTATATTTCTTACAACTCGCTCCATACTTACCTCAACAATGAAATCATGAATACAGTTGCATCCAACCATTACCGAAAATTCCAATCCAAACTAATCACTTACATTAATCCACTTATAGCCATTCAAGGGCGAGTTAACTTGCCTGAATATCCCCCCCCCCCCCGTCGTTTAAAAAGACGCTGGTCCAGAGATTTATAAAATCCCCAGCCATAATTTATATATTTATTTATATTATAGACTGAGCCCTTTTTGAATTTACAATATTTGAGATAAAAATTAAAATTATACAATTATTTATAACATAGTGTAATCAAGTAATTACCAAATCGTTAAAGGCAGGATCTACATTGGCAATCAACATAATACGCCTTAAAAGTTCATTAGCCATAAGTTGGTAGTAGAAAACGGAACATAGAAGGAGGCTGAGGAACGAGACGAATGTGATGGAATTTTAAAGCAAATTAGAGAAAACTGGATAGGTGAATCGATATCATTGTTTAATAATCCTGCAAAATATTTAATATCAGCGATACATCGATGCTCAGCTAAAGAAATCAAGCCTAGATTAGTAGCTACTGACGTATAATTGTGAGCGGTACAAGGCATTTTCAATTTGAAGCTAGCAAATCGTAGGAATCTGTGTTGAATATTATCAAGCTGTCTTGAATTATCATCAGTATGAAGGTTCCAGATTATAACCCCATACTCCAGAATGGGACACACAAGTGCACAAAAAAGCATTTTTAACGATAATTTTAGTCTAAAGTCTATTGTTGATCGCATGATAAAACCAAGAATGTTGAGAGCCTTACAACACACATGTTCAATGTGATTACTTTGGTCAAGATTAAGCTAAGCTTGAAACCTAGGTCCGTGATACAGTTGACAGCGCGGGAAACAGTATTACCATTGAGGAAGTTTTGTGATATAAGAAGAGAGCGGGATCTAATGAAGGTCATAATTTTGTATTTAAGGAAGTTGAGTGTTAAACCCAAGATATAAGACTGATTAGAAAAACGATTCAAATCAGATTAAAGTGTTCTGTTATCATCTAGTATAGATACGCGTAGATAAATTTTGATGTCATCAGCAAAGCTAAAAAAGCAGCAGTAGTGTAATACACGATGGAGATTATTAGTAAAAAGTGAGAACAATATTGGTGATAGATTACTCCCTTGAGAGACACCTGAAGAAGCCAGAAACAAATTAAATTTAACATCAACAACTTTTACCCATTGGTACCTGTCTTTAAGAAAGGATCTAAACCAAGATAAAAGTGGTTCGCCGAAACCAGATTCTTTGAGAATATGCATAAGTATCATATGATTAACTGAGTGAAAAGACTTACATCAACTTGCGCCTGACATTGAAAAAACTCATAAATATAATTACTTAATACAAGATTACATGTGGTAGTAGATCGCCTTAGGCGAAAACCATGCCTCAGCGAGATAATACCGCATAAGGATTGTGTCCCTCTTCATACTAATTATCGTGAAAATATTCTCCACATCATAATATCCTATTTGCTTATTGTATTTATGTTAGAGATTGTACATTTTCTATTTTAATAAAAAAAAATTACAATACGACGCTCCTTTTTTCCAAGCTACATATAGTGCACACATACACACACACACACACACACACACACACATACACATTATAGTGTGCCACATAATATGTTACATATAAATATCATAGGATACTGTAGACACATTAGAAGTATGGCAGTCCGTGGGTATATAACATGAGTACTTGGGTAGAGTTATGGTGTATAGATATTTATTATATTATAATATCGTGTTCGTCAATCATATCTTTGTCGGATCACTATACTCGTATTCATTAATTATTATTATTGTTATTATAATTATTAGATACTCATAACGAAGTTACACCACACGATACAAAATCATTGTACGACGGTATGTAAATTACTTGAAAAGCTAGTATATCTACATTGGTGGCGATGAATATTTCTTGTTTAGCGGCGAGATAATTCAAATTGATAATATTTCGAAGAAATTATAACTTTAAATGTTTCATGCAGCATAATTTCAGATTGAAATTCTAACACGAATTAACTAACGTTAATACGTCTTAAAAATTGTAAAACAGCAAATTTGCAGATTTTCTAGTAGTTTTTGTTGTAGGATTGTAAGTATTCTAAATTATTTTTCAAATACAATAGTATTATATTCGTTTTTATATAATTTTTTTAAAAAATCTTCCTGGAAAGGAATAATTATAATTCTATATTCCAACATTCTGATACAATACATTATATATATTCGCCTCAAAGAAATCGTTATGGTGACTAAATTAAAACATTCTTTTATCAGACCTAATACACTTTTGTCAAATTTTCTTTTAGATTTTAAAACTATAAATTTTCTGATAACTCTTCTTGTGTATTTTTAAATTTATTTCCATATTCATGAAAAATTATCTTGATTTTATTATATTTAACTTACTAATACACATATATATGTTTTGTTATCGACCACTATCAAATACAAACTATTTCAATCGACCTATTTTATGTACCTATTGGTGAAAACTGAATCGAAAAAGTAAAAAATATTGTCACATTAAATTTCAGTGTATACAATACTGTGCTAAGACGAAGTTAATATAGTGAGACAAGTGTCTTAATACATATGTATGTTATTTAACACTTGTCTAACTCATTATATTTGTACGAGTTTAATATGTATGAACTGAATTAAAATAGTAACGTTTCAACAAAAATAATTAGAATTGATACAAATGTTACAAGCACACAATGTCTAACTTTTTCATTATGTTTAGAACGATTATCAAATAGTGTATCTCAGAATCTTTAGCTACCTTTATTTTTAACGATATTTAAAGACGTCATTACATTTCAGTATAACAAGTTAATTAAAAGTTGCAGAAAGTAGTTGAATTACTGTTAACTGCTAAACAATGGTGCCGTAGCAAATGTGCATTATTCATGTGCAAATCAGTCATAACGAAAAATTTATACAAACACCAACGCCGAATCGCATAGAACTTATTTATTAAAACGGGTTTCAACCATTACTGTATGTAGGGTAAGTATTAATAAATATGTAGTCGGGCACGAGAATAATTCTTAATTGAAAAAGAAAAAAACGCTTAAATTAAATATTCTTCAGTACAGTGTTAGGTACGACAGAGAATTTTAAGAGCACTAATTATAATCCTCTACAATTTCAATTAATATCTTATAAATTCGAATTTCGTTTATTATGATAGTGTTCAATTTAAATTTATTAAAAATATTGCTTGTATTAATCGTTGCCCGATCTCTAGTAATATTTTTCAGTTGATCTAGGACTCTCCATGTCTTGATTCTCTATCCATTAAACGTGATTTAACCATTATAATATTTGTTTACGATATTTAAATGGCTTTATAGACAGCCCATATATCTAATTTATTTTAGAATATCTGGTAGTACTACAAGAAATTCGGATTTGTTCTACATACCTAAATTTAAATTGAATAGTGGCACAAACCTGTTTTTTCCAGAGCTTAATTGCTAACGAAATCACCGCTAATCTTTTTTGTTTTATCCACCCAAGTTTTTAAGGCTATAATCCTGTTATTATTAAAACATAAAATTTAATTCATTTTTATTTACTTATGTTCTTATACTTGTTTTTTTATTGATTTTATGGTGTCTACAGGCATTTGTATTACTATTGTTCATTTATTTGTTATTTTTATTTTTTATGGTTAAATATCCTATTTCTGTACATGCATATTCTATATTGTTTATATTTGTATAAATTATTTTTTTGTATTTCTACTCGTATATCCCGATAATAATGAAAATGGTTTAGTAAAAAGGTTTTTTGCCCGTCGATTATTCGAACGAATAATTAAACGGCACCGTATAATCATACGAATCGTGTGAAATACAACGAACCGCAGCCAGCAGACAACGGTTTTGCACGAGATCGATATTATTATTATTTTTACTCCCCCGAAAACCCGTCGTTGCTTTTAACACACAGTTCGGGTTAGGTTTGAGGACCTTCTACCGTTCGATGTACAAGCGCTGTCAGACGGTGTTCGGCCGTGATGTGCCATGTGCGGATAATGAAAACTACGAGGACATGAACGAGCGTTAAAAAAAAAAAAAATAAAGAAGAAGAAAAGAGGTGACGAAATGTTGAAAAAAAAGAGAGATACGATGAGTGGGAGAGAGAGAGAGAGAGGCGGTGAGACGACAAAAGAAAACGAATGCGACGTACGGCCGTATCATTAGAATATTGTAACGAGCGTGCACGACGATGCGTACCAGAAGTGCGATCGCGCGTCGATGGCGGGGCGTCAAGGTCGTGGACGCGCACAAGAAAGTGAGAGTAGCGGCTCTACATGTATAGGTAGCCGTGGACGGTACGATACGCGCGTGCCGCTACCGGTGCGCGCGAACGGTGTACGCCCGGCCATCCGCTTTTACTCGCGTCCGGTCCGCTGACGGGTGCACTTTCTTTCCGCCGCCGCAGCCGCCGCAGTCGCAGGACAGCGCGGCGTGAAAATATTCCGTCGCAGTGCACGCGCCGCCGTCGCCACCGGATCCGCCGCAGCGACTACGCACCACATTGACTCCGCACCGTAACAGCACGTCCAACAGCTGCCGCGTCACGTGTACCGCGCGCGTACCAGGCCACCAGCACTCGCACGTTTATGGTGCTCGGCTGCCGTCGACGATGCGGCCGCACCAGCTGCCGCTGCACTTGTGCTCGTTATGTTTGTCGCTGTTCATGGTGACGGCCGCGACCATCCCGGACACCGCGGTAAGTACCTCACCATAAAAACGTTCCGTTCTTCTAAGCGTTCCCCGTTAAGTGACATCCGTTAAGGGGCCACCTCAAGTGGAACGAAAATGTAACGAGCGTTCGGCGATTCAAATACGAGAGAATTTTTAACGGGATAGACGCACGTTTCGTAGTCGCACCATGTCTGGTTGCGAACCGTTTGCACGTGATCACGTGAACAGTGCGGCCCATGGCGCTTACGAAGCGCAAACGTCCGGGAGTAGATCCGGGCGAGGAGGATTTTTAAAATTCAAGAGGCACACGTTTAAGAAAACATAACGTTGGAATAAAATAACATAACTTCATCCGGTTGTACCATATTTTTAATTATTTTATATCAATGTATCGAGTGATTTTAAATACGTATATTAAACCGTGTCGGTTACGTCTAAAACGTCTAGAAAGCCTCGAATTAAAGTTTTTTTATTTTTTTTGAAAAAGGGTGATTATCATCCTTGGATCCGCTCCTGGCATCCGCACACTGTAGGTACTCGTGCATCCGAGAAATCGTCATAAACGTAACTCATGAAAATTCGGACGTCCTTTTATCTCTATTCGTATTATCACATTAATAATAATAATAATAATAATAATAATAATAACGTCGCAACCGCGTTCTCTCTTTCTCAACGTTCTTCGTATAAACTGGTTCGAGACTGCGCACTCGACGAGAGTTTGTGTTTACTTTCTGCGGTAAAAGTAGTTCCGCCGCCGTCTCCTAGAAAGAATGAAAAGAACGACAATATAAAAAAAAATATATATATATATATATATATATACTCTGAAAAGACGTGAATGATAATAATAATAAATTATGACGCGTATATATTTTAATCTGATACAAGCGATGCATTGTCTGTGTCCGCAGGACGATAGCGATTCCGGCACCTCGTCCGTCCTGTCCAACAGACAGGGTGACAAGCGAATATTCTTTGACGACATATTCGGCTCAGTCAGCTATGAACCAGAAGAAAAGTTACCAGTGTCCAACTGCACTTGTAGTAAGTATCTATGAACCCTCGGCAGTAATACCATATTGATAGATACAATTCGCGCGTAATACAATTGCGAACGCTACACTGTTCCTATGATAAGTAACATCCTATATCTGATATCTATACCAGCCATACGGTTTATGTTAGGTAAAATTATTCCTGATTTATAAATATATTGTCGCGACGAAACGTATTTCGCGTCGCTTTAAGAATTCGCACTAAAATATTGTAGCTTTTGATTTGAGATTGGCCCACATCAAATTATATATTCGTGCCACAACTCTGTTCTCCGGCATACACGGTTCGATCAAGTATAATGTAGAAATTCAATTCCCTAAGAAAAGAACCAATTTGTTTTAACACCGGATTTAACTGCACTCTAAGCCTAGTTCTGGTTTACAATAAACAGATTTTAATTTTAATATATGTAAATGTCCTGAACAGCTTAACATTTCGTGCGAATCTCAGATTGCGTTGTTATGATTACCGGTTTTTTGTTCGAACAAATATACAACCAGTAAGATATAACTTTGTATGTATATATACGAGTATATAATATTTAAAACTAAGAAATTTAAAATAACACATTAACATTTTGTTTTTCGTTGCGTCAATATTCGACAAAACAATCACATTCAATATATCTATACCATTGAACAAATAGTACCTCTCCCCTGAAAAATAATTTTTTCAAACAATACTTTCGAATAGTAATAATTGTCTATCATATAATCAAAATAACTCCCATCGAGTGGTAAAATTACTATCCTCTAGGATTTATGCATTCAATGAATATTTCCCGTTCTTTATGATTAACGGTTGTTAAATTCAACAAGTCCGTCGGATTGCTATTCTCGATCATACTTAGTCATTATCTGACTAATAAACAAACACGTGCGATTCGATAACAATAATTGAAAGATGGATATTTTCAATTCGTTAATTACAAACATATCCGTAACAAGTATCAACTCATTGTATATTACATGAATATAATTGCTATTCAATGTACAATGGCTAGATTTCAGAGCATATTTTTCATCACTATAGATTTCACTAGAAAAATACGAGTAGTTACTACCGACCGTGACATTGCTACAAATTGTAAACATAATTATAACATCTATTATATTCATTATATATATATATATATATATATATATATCATAATATTCATATCGTGTTAATATAATATGATAAATTGGAAATAGCAAAATAAGTAATTTTAATTTCCATAGATTCAAAGAACATTTGCCACTTATCTCAATTTTTAAAAAACTAAAAAGACAGTCTTCTGGAGCTTCGACGCAATGATAATTCCAGAAATTGCTAAGGGAACATAATGAACCGGAAGAGTGTAGTATTAACATTCAATTTTTACCGTATGCGAGTTCACCTTATACGGACTTGATGGTATTCCAGCCCACGGTTCTTGATATATAAACTATTAAATTTGAGTAGCCAATAAAGTCTTGTTCATCCACGTTGTAGAATATTCATAATATGATACGAAAATATTTTTCTTATCTATTTTATTTGTGTGTGTGTGTGTTCCGACCAACATTTTATTGAATGTGTGGTAGATAAAATCGCTGTTTGGTTTCAGATTGCGGAGTGCCCAACCAAGAAATCCGAATAGTTGGTGGCCGTCCTACCGGAGTGCACCGGTATCCATGGGTAGCCAGACTCATGTACGAAGGACATTTCCATTGCGGCGGGTCGCTCATAAACAGCGATTACGTGCTGACCGCAGCTCATTGTGTTCGGAAGTAAGTAAAAAATGTCCGAAATACACAATACCTGTTCGGATCCAAGTACCGCGTGTGCTGGTAACGTCGACTGAATGTTTCCGACAAACGCTCGTCGGTATTTCGATCACGTCGTCTCGTCGTACTACGACGAATTGTCATTTTAATCACAATACGTAACATCCCGTCAGAATATCGCCCCATATATGCTTAAACAGAAGTCAATCAATCTAAAATTATGTACACCTATACGTGCATATCATGTACGTTTTATAAATACGTCATGTACACGCTACGCGTGTGTGACACCGATTCTATATACTTTACGTGTTTGATTTCGAATATACCGCGTATTGTTTCGTGAAAATTAAATATCGTACTCACAAAACGTTATATTGTATATGTATATTGGTTTTCAAAACCACAAGCTCGCGGTCGAGCCAAATACGAGTATGTGTGCGAGTGTGTATGTGTGTAAACTTTAATATAGAAAACCCGAATCGTATACTTCCCTCCCTACCAATTTGCGTTGTCATTATTTTAATTCACTGTCACTGAAAGATTTTGTCCTAAATTTTGCTGTGCCAGCATGCAATAAACAACGAGGTTATTCAATAGAAATGTTCACATACATAATAACTTTCCATTGCGAAATTATTCATGAAAATACGAGTAATTTCAAATGCACAAACCACAAATTTTAATCTTAAATTTTGTATTGCATCGTTTACAACAATATCGGTTGCACGGATTTGGTCGACTTGAAAACATACAAATTTTTACTTTTAAATTATAATACTTACATGTGTAACTATCGATATTAATTGCTATTAATTTTTTATAACGCAAGTTGTTCAGTTAAATTAGGAGTAATTATATAAGAAATTATACTTTTGTTTGGATGTAAACTATCATGATAAATATATTCACCGGCTGCGTTTTGTTTAATATTCACCTTTTACACTTTTACTTGTTATTTGAAGAATATAATATGTAGGCAGCGTGATTTCGAGTTTTTACCTGATGTTAATTGAAGACTTGGAGAAAGTTAAAAAAAAATACTCGTTTTCCTTTTATAACGATTAGTGTTTGATTAAGATCCATAAACTTAGAAAAATACTTTTATTTTTCTTTAAACAACATCACGTTAATGAAATTATATTTTATCATTGACCGAATAAACATTATGATAGTTCAATGATGATTGAATATCTGTTCTCGTTTATTTTATATTGATTTTCCAACAAACAGCTTAACACAATATTAACCTATGTAATCTATAGGTTAAAAAAATCTCGTATTCGAGTGGTATTCGGCGAACACGATCAGAGTATAACGACAGACGGAGAAACGGTCACCCGGGTGGTGTCTTCGATCGTGCGTCATCGAAATTTTGACGTGAATTCGTACAACCATGATGTAGCTCTTTTACGACTGCGGAAGTCAGTATCGTTTTCCAAATCAGTACGTCCAATATGTTTGCCGTCAGCAAGTACGTATACCTGTTACGTAAATAATTGAGTTACCACAAACATAATAATAATGTCATAATGACAACGGAAATGTTTAAAAGTTGTTGGTAAAAAAAAATTAAACTTTGATAAGAGTTTTATTTGCCATACAGATAGTATATATATTTTTTTTTTAATTCTTATCATACTTTTGTTTATATTACAGCCCGCGAACCGTCTGGAAAACTAGGAACGGTGGTTGGCTGGGGCCGAGTTTCCGAGGGCGGAAATTTAGCCGACATTGTACAAGAAGTCCAAGTACCAATATTATCGCTGGCGCAGTGCAGAGCTTCGAAATATCGGCCACAGAGAATTACCGCCAATATGATTTGTGCGGGAAAAGGTGTTGAGGATTCTTGTCAGGTTGGTGATGTTTTCAATCCCGATTGCATTATTAATATTTTCGGTTTTGCCGTACAAGAGTACCTTAACCATAAGAGCAAACTTGTTTTATGTGACTCTAATATAATTGTATATATACATTTACGAATTTATGAATTTAATTTTAAAAAAAAACCACATCCATGACATTGCCCGTCCAGTCCGATGATCGATAAATGCCAATGCTATAATTATATAATATTCCCACGCATAATACCTATGCAACCTTCTAGTCATAAAATTTCACGGAATTCACAGTTTGATGAAATCATAACACCTGAACTTTCTAACCGAATGCTTAAAATTGATTACCTGGAAATTCTTAATTATAGTAATCAATATTACCATTATTACAGGGAGACAGCGGAGGTCCTTTGTTGGTGAACAGCGATTCCGATGATAAATTGGAAATAGTCGGTGAGTCATTCGTTCAGAAGAACCGTTATAACATAAAGAACATGAATTTTTAGTGTAATTTTCAGCGCGCAATATAAACTTTGAAATCGGAACGTAAGAGTCGACCGTGCTATCGACTTCTATGATTTCTAATATTTCTGTTGCATTCATACCTACTCAATTTTGCGTCTAATATCATGAAAACGGTATTTTTTTAATTTATAACGGTTTTTTTCAATAATTTATTGCAGGTATTGTGTCTTGGGGCGTAGGGTGTGGACGACCCGGTTACCCAGGTGTATACACCAGAGTAACTAAGTACTTAGATTGGATACAGAAGAACATGCGAGACACGTGTGCTTGTATTAGATAGCGAAGAACATCTCGGAATTGTATATTATATAAATAAATGTACATATTATTATAACGACATATTATTACTATACTTCTTCAACTCTTCTACGTCTTTAAATTATTATTTATTATATATTATATACTCATATATATATATATATATATATATTGATTTTTCATACTACGTGTCGAAATACATTACTTGTTAAAAAAATATAATAAATACAAAGAAATATTTTGATATGATACATTTACGTATTTTTATTTATTTATATATGGGGCTGTATTACGTTTTATCTAAATAATCATATCTGTTTAACAAAGATGTCACCTTTCAGTGCGTTCAATCATTTTGCTTTCGTCGCATACATAACGCGAACGTACGATGTTTGCGCACCAATACCACTCGCATTATACATCAGCCTACGTCTTATTCTTGAACCAGTGGCATCTGACGGCTACTTCCGTTAAACGCATTTCTGGAATACCATATGAAATGTAACCGCACAAATATCTATAACGGTGCGCATTACGTAAGCTAAACACGTTTTAATAGGACCTGTCGGTCGGCCTGAAATTGGCATCTTAGAAATGTGGATTCCCGTTTGATATGTCCGAGCTATGCATGCATGCATGAGTGTGCGAGCGTATATGGGCGAGTTTATGTGTGTCTGTGTGTTGTATATTTTTTTTTAACGATGCCCTATACCGTTAAACATAATACTTGTAACTACTGCGGGTCACAGTCATGACACCGAGTCGCCAAGGTTCGTTCCTCGCCAGCATTCTGCTCGTAATAGCATGCACAACGCAACAGGCAAGTACACAGCGTATTATAGAATTTAAATATATTATCAAATAATTAAATTACCCAAAAAACTTACCTTAATTAAACACGTGAACAACACGTAATGCTGTTTTTAAAATATTTATTATTGTTTATAATACCTCAAACGTTCGCGTTCGCTGCAGGTTTACGGTATGAAAAATATTTTCTCTGACTTGAGATTCCGCAGACCTACACCCGAAATCGTTACAAATACATTAACCAAAGATGGCCAAGGGTGTGATTGCAGTAAGTAGATTTTTTTTGCTATTCGGTTAATAATTAGATACATCGAGGTATTAAGAACGTATCACGCACAGAATAGTCGAGGTAACATGAAAATCGGTCAAGCCGTTTCGGAGGAGTTCAATAACAAACACTGTGACAGGAGAATTTTACGAATAAGAGATATATTAGTCATGAGTAGGCGTTCAAACTAAGTAGACGTATTATTATATTTATAATTCATTTTTTTTACACGCTCACACCCATGTAGCAACTCAATATTGTGTCCAGGGTGATATTTTAAAATTCGCCCTTATGTATTTTTAATTTGAAAATATTATAATTATTAGATATTATTTTCAACAACCGCTTCAATTTTATATAAAGAACGTTGAAGTTATTGTTAATAAAATATTCAACATTGACCGATGTCATTTTTTACATAAAATGCAAATTTTTCATTTTTGCGCTTTTCTAGGAAATACGCCTGGAGCGTATGCACCTCGTCCTTCCCCTTAATACGATCCCACACCTACGTATTACAGATACCTGCATAAAGGTTCACGCTGTTTATTGGCTGAAAAAAGCATATTTCTCGGATTTACATTTAAAATATTCTGTTCAAAATAAATGTACATTCCCTCTATAAAATGGTTTTTACAAAAAATAAATATATATATTTCTTTGATCACGATAAAATATTAATACCCAAGTGACTTCGATACTAGTTCAGTGACCCGTAAATAATAATCTATGTAATATTATTATATACTATATACTCACTACTCATAGGGAGTAAGTGATGCGAATAGAAAACGTAATCAAAAGAAAATATATTCTATGTAATAAAAAATGTCCCTGGAAATCAAAATAAAATATTATTGTAATATATATAGTTATATTATCCTATATACTTTTCATATTGAAATATGTAAAAAAAAAATGATCATTATAATTACATTACCACACACGTTATTTATTAGAGTACTAAATTATTTGTACTTAATTAAATTTTAAAATAATAGGCAATACAGTAAATCGTTTTTTATTTTGTTAACATCGAAGTTTATCACCTTTATAAATAACATGCCTACGAATATATATATATATATATATATATATATATATATATATATATATATATATATATATATACACTAATATAATTTTAATATAAAATATCCTCCGAATAAATACATAAATAAAATAAAATTTAAATAAAGTAATATCCAATTTTCGTTAGTACCATAAACCTATAGGAATAAATAAAAATAGAGAAAGAATAATTAACATTTAAGTGTATTTTCATCCTGTGAGTTAATGTGATCTTATATACATTATGAAAATTTCCAAATTTAATTCAATGTTAAAGTTTTAATGGCTTGAGTGCAATCGTTGATTATTTTGAATTATGCATCATAAAAATATTAATTATTTATTTCAATTTATTAATATAATTAAACATATAATACAATTTTTTTTATAAGTCAAGTGAAAATGTTGTTTGGTATAACGAATATATTTCAACTAAATACTGAAATTATGTTTTATAAAAAAAAAAAAAAAACTAAGGTTAGTAACAAAAAGTGTACAGACATTTTTTTGGAGTATCTATCCATTTCATTATATCACTTCATTCATCTAAATTTAAAATGATCATGAACAATTAATGTTGAATTAATATTAAAATAAAAATACTTTTTACACATTGAAAAAAATGAAAATATTTCATTATTGTTTTTGCCGTTTAAGTAAAAATTTAAGAAATTTTATAAAAAGCAAGAGAAATATTTTATTTTTAAATACATCAATTGATCAAGAAAATAAGTATGTCTAGCCTGAACGTCCTCTTAATTCATTCTTGACCTAATGGTAGTACAAATACGTGTGCGTGAGTTATTCAACTATCAATGTTATTTTCTATTTCACAAAACATTAAAATACAATATATAATACATCTCAAATTCGCGACTTCAAAACAGCTTGTGGATCTCCAAATGTTGACACGAAAATCGTAGGCGGTGAACCGTCGGGAGTACACGAATATCCCTGGATGGTCCGTCTATCATACTTCAATCAGTTCTACTGCGGTGGCACGCTGATCAACGACAGATACGTGTTAACGGCCGCTCATTGTGTTAAAGGGTAATATAAAATATGAATTTAGTAAAACTTAATGAGTTGAAAATATTTGGTCCAATCATAGTATATTGACATTTTTTTTTTTTAATATCATAAAGTATATCGTGTGTTCTGTATAGATATATTATTACATTATAATACATGTATAAATATACGCTAATTAATTATCACATATTATTGTGTAACCATAAATCATAACGTTATGTTGCGTGGCATTTGTGGTCACAGATTTTTATGGCCGCTGATCAAAGTCACCTTTGGCGAACACGACTACTGCAACTCCACCAGGAAACCGGAAACCCGGTTCGTCCTGAGATCCATCTTGGGCGAGTTCAGTTATTTAAATTTTCAAAACGATCTGGCACTGTTGAGGCTTAACGACCGAGTGCCGATGACCGGAACCATACGACCAATATGTTTACCGACAGATACAAGTGAGTTGAGATTAAATTTGGTGAACAGTAAAAATAAATATAAACGATATACAGTCTATGTTAGGTTGAATTATATAGGTATGTGGAGTATATTTTTTATTTTAGGAAATTATTGATTTTATTGAAGGATATTATAATATAATAAAAGGACAAAATTACTAAAACAACATATTATGTTGTTTTAGTAATTTTGTCCTTTTTTCTCTAACCCGCCAAAATTTAGAATCGAAATTAGTTATAAACTGGAATTCGAACGAAAAATTAATGGTGATTTCAAATAACGTCTGCAGGACGAAAATATAAAAATACAATACGGAAAGCTATACTATATGTGGCAATAAACCTAATACATTGAAAAGTAAATGATCAAAAATCCAATAGAACATGTGTAATTTAGAATACCGTAAAGCGTACGTCCGATATGGGTTCAGGGTATGTCACTATATATTTTCAAACTCATTCGGCTTATGTTAATATTCATCGAAATTCGTTTCCGATTCTTTATACCCTATACGTTTATACGTCGTGAAAATATTCGAAAACAGAAAATCGAAAGGTTGATGAAAAAATCCTATTTTGCAAGACAGCTTCCAGTTGTATTTAATTATTCTCTTTCGAATTTAATAAATGTGTCTTCACAAAAAATACAATGGAAAACACACTTCTTAGATATCTGTATAGTTAAATACAAAATAAAATATAAATAATATATTATTACAAGTTTATAATAATATTAATCATTAATCATTAGTCATTAATCAATATTAATCATTATAGAACACTTATAGACTGATGTAGTATAAAGTGTTGGTAAAAATAAAAAATATTATTTTCATTGTCATGCCGAATTTGATTCCGATTAAATACTATTTATTTATCTGCTTTTACAAAGTTTAGTCTAGGCCACAGAAAACATTACATTATGCAGGTGTTTATATTCTGGAAAAATGTGTGTACTGTGCATCATGTATAAAAATGTTATTTACTGATTTGTGTATTATTTATACTTCTGAGAGACTTCTGAATATCAACGTAGTGGGAAAAGACCGAGGGGTAGACCAAGGAAGCGATGGTTCGATGGGGTAAGACAGGATCTAAGAACACTAGACGTATAAGACTGGGAAGAAATTATCCAGGAAAGGGAAAAATGGAAGGCTTTGACGGTGGCGGCGAAGCCACCACAAAAAAATTTAATTTTTTTATTCAGATTTAGTAGTGTGTAATAAATATTAATCAAAATAAGTGTAGTATATTTGTAAATTGTAGTATAGTAATAATTAATTGATAAAACAATACTTTACATTCGTAAGCCAACAGTAATAAAACACGTTGTGGCCCCTTTCAACTTGCGGCCCGGGGATAAATAGCTATCAGTAGATTCATACCATATTACGGTCTCTGGCATAATTAATAAAAAAAAAAACACCGTTTAATCGAACATTTATCAGATCTAATAATACATTTTAACAGGTCCCTTCGATCTCGTTATAAACACTACCAAACTACATTCGATAGTGGACGACTGGCCGAAAGCTATCGGACGACTTTATAATACGTGTACACAGTGGTCGAAGGGGGAAGGATACAGAGAGATGACATCACTCCACTAATTTTAATCCACATTATTTATCCTTCCACTTATTTTTTCCAATATAATACATTCCCCTTATAATTATATGCAAAGATTATCGATTTACATTATTGTTATTCATAAACATTTTATTTTTTTACGACGATTTTTTAGGTCCATATCACCAACACGACCACTTTTGAATAATAGTTCCAAACCTTGACAGTTTTTTTTACTTTTTTTTGTACAATATTTTACACCCAAAATAAAATTTTGTACAACCACCCAAACCCGAGAAACCCGATTTTTCTATGGTCATAACATTTTATACTGTGCTTACTACCTATAATAGCCAAAATGCTGTACAGTAATACCATATTACTAAAATAATATGACAATAAGTTAATAATAACTTAATAATAGGTATCAATAACACGAGTTTTATTTTCCACCGCACTCTCTATAGTATATGGTGGACTATATATAAATGAAAATAATTAAAATTAGAAAAATCCCAATTTCTGATTTTTGCATGTAGCTTGAACTATTTGACTAGATGTTTATTTTATACACGGTGTTTTCCGAAAATAGAAAATGAATATTGTGTTTGATACTCGAATAGTGTGATCCAAACTGTGAATACTTTTTATGACATATACTTACTTACTTTGCTACCAACTCAAATAATTAATATCATAGTTTTGTTTTATTTTTATTGGATTATATAAGGTAAGTAAAAATTTATGTATATCATAAGTTATTACGTTTCTTTTAATTTTATTATCTTATGTGTATATATTTAATATACGTATTTTGTTAACTTAAAATAATAGGTTCTATTAGAAATGGAAGATGAAAGTAGAGGTATGTATTTCCATCAATTGTAATTGCTTAAGATAAGTGGTTACAAAATCAACCAACCATATTATTGTGGAACCCTTGCCAATACCATATGATAAATAAAAACATTTGAATTATTTCAAAATCATATGGGAAAGTGGTATAAGATCCTATTATATCGTTATTTGTATTTTTTAGTGTCTTTAGTTCATTTAAAATTTACATTAACTATTTTGTACCAAATTTCTACTCTCAAATAAATCAAAAATTCAGTCATAATATTACCGAGGAGTAATACTGAGGGATAGCACCACAAAATATAAAACCACAACCACGAAAAATATTAAAATAATTCACATCTTGAAAACGCTAAGAAAATTTCACAAAATTGTGCAGGGTAGGTTTTGTTGAAACTTGGAGATATTAGCAAGACAATAAAAGTGCATGGTGATGTATACAATTTAAGAGGAGTAATTGCTTTTATTGGATCAGCAAGACAATTGAGAGAATCATGTGGACATTATATAGCATATGTTTTGAGATCAAATTATCAAAGGCAATGCTATGACGATTTAAAGGAGCAGGTATTATCAAAATCAAGTAATTTTAAATTTAATGCAGATATTCTATTATATACAAAATAATATATTGTTATTTTTACATATTTTTCATATTTAATAAAACAAAATACCTACTCATCGTAAACTAACTTCTTCTCTAGAACCACATTTACTTTCTCCAAACCTTATAAAAAAACTATATTGTGTCTATCACAACCTAAGAAAACTTTAAAGATAGCTACCAATTAAAGTAAGTATTGTAGTTGATAAATAAACATTTAATTAAAAACATTAAGTATTACATTGCATTAAATAATATGTAAATATACATCACAATGCTAAAATATCCACCAACAATACAATAAAGGTAGATGACTATAGTTACAAATAATACATTTTAAAACAGAAATAATGCATAATATATAAGAATAGTTTGAAATTAAGATATTAAAAATATTAGAATTAAGATTAGTGAACGAGCTGGGAAACATATAACCAGAACGCACATCGAAAAATCGGGTTTTCTAGTGGGTTTTTTTTGGGGGGGAACAATATTTTGTATAATATAAAGAAATAACTAGGTACTAATATACGTGTACAAAAATTAAAAAGTATAATAATGCTATATTTTACATTTAAATACGAAATAAATACATTAAATTTAAGTACATTTATATGCTCCTATATCTTTTCCGTATCCTTCAAAACTTCACTTTGGGCGTATCTACCATTTTTTTTAAAAAAATATCATAAAAATTAAATATTTTTATTACCTACTTATTATATTAATAAATTTCAACATGGATTCATTAAAAAAAGTTTTAAATTAATATTTCAATTCTTTATTAATATAATTAGGTACATCATCAATACAAGTACATGGCGTGTCAATAAAATATGCAAAATACCAAGACATGAATACGTCCGTTGTCAGTATGTACTCGTACCTATACAAGGTACCTATACCACATAACAGCATTTTGGCTATTATAGGTAGTAGGCACATTATAAAATGTGATGACCATAGAAAAATCGGATATTTTCGATTTTGGGTGGATGCATAAAATTTTATTTTGATTGAACAAAATTGTACAAAAAAAAAATACAAAATACTGTCAATGTTTGGTACTATTATTCTAAAGTGGCACGGTGATACGGACCTCGATTTTTTAATTAATCTTACAAAATACAATGTTTATTTTTTTTCTATGATATAAAACAAGTATTTTTATCTTATTTAAATTGGATCACTTGAAGCCTAGATCCGATAAATAATCTAAACATAATTTCTTATAATTTTATATAGATAAGAAAATATAAATACGAATTGTAGAAATGAATTCTAACGTATGTATATAAGTCAGTTATATTTTTTTTGTCGTTAATTGACGAATAGCGACTCATCGGAAATATTTAGCGACCCAACGTTGGAAAACACAGCCATAAAATATGAGAAGCGTAAAAATGTAACCGTTCCTCCACTTATCCCGTGCCACTTCGACCACTGCGTGTACTGTTGTTGTTTCCGACGACACATTAGGCTGCCCAAGCGGGTAATCATGGTGTAAGTCATTCACAGCACCACGCGCGCACGAGCACGGCCATTCTTACGCACAGGATGCAACGATGGTACCGCACCCGGCAGCGATTACCATAACAGAGGCGTATTTTAGAGGGAGCGAAGGGGGCTATCACCCCCTCTGAATTCGTAATTAAGAAATCGATTATAAATGATATACGCATTTCAAATGTTTTTAATGTGGATCATTTTATAACGAAATCAAATTACGCGTGGCTGTGAATACTGAATAGGGATTTTTATCGGGTCCATAATTAGTGAAAAATCAAATAAAATACAAGCGTAACTTTTAAAACATAGACAGGTATTAAAAAAGAACTACACAAAAGTCGATTTTAAGTAGATTCGGCATTAGATTAAAAAAAAAACACAAATATTAAGAATTCACCTGATTTAAATATTACCAAAAATTTTGCTTGAAAAATTTGTGCTTGAATTAAAGAAAAAATTTAAGTCTTCCCCCTCTCCAAGAAGTAAATCTAAATACGCCCCTGGACCATAGTTACAACGTTAGTTGCATTGTGCGTTGTTTGTGCAGACGACACGTACGTGAACGGCGTGGGAAAGGCGGCCGGATGGGGCACGCTGTATGAGAATGGGATGCCTTCGTGTCACCTGAGACAAGTGGACGTGCCGATCATCGGCAATGAGGACTGCTCAAAGACTAACTACACAGGCGATCTGATCACCGATAACATGATTTGCGCGGGACACGAATCGGGCGGGAAGGATTCTTGCCAGGGTGACAGTGGCGGACCGCTGATGCGGTTGATGGACAACAAGCGGTTCGAAATCATTGGTAAGTACACAACTGATGCGATCTCAACGTATGCATATCTGTAGGGAAACATAGATTTCGCCTGAACAACCCTCGTCTACCAACTTCTCGAAATGTACCTATGGTCTTAGATCTACCTCCAGACCGTCGACTATGACTCGAGCAACTCACAACCATGGCATCCAGTTATGGAGAGCTGCCAAACCTTTAAATATCATTCAAGTTAAAACGTTTCAATTTCAATACATTTGTCAAATTACCAGAGCCCCGTACTATGTTTCAAATGAAATACTCCACAATGACACAATGACTCACCATCGGCAGAGTATAAAATGTAATTAAATCGTATTATAAACGTGTTAATACTAACGTGCAAAACCATCGAAATCCTCTGATCATCGAACTCCCAGAAAGCGCTACTGAAAGGTCCCTACTGGACCAACAAATATTGATTAATTACTGCATAATGTGTCACCAATGGGTGGCTACTTAAACCCAAATTTTCGCGTTACTGTATCACTCCTCATGCATGCTTATTGAAAAAAATGTTTACAGGTTGTACACACTAGAAATAAAAGTTAAAAAAATATTATAGCTTTTTTAATCTCAGCAAGCTTAATTATCCATTTTTCTCTTCTTAAATATAAATAATACACATAAAAAGTTTTCTATATATCCATACTTAAAATTGCTCACATTACTGTACGTAAAATTAAAATATTAGACACTAACGTAACTTTGATGATCTTATTATAATTGTTTTTAACTATAGTTAAAGATTATTTTCAAAATCCTTGTCTGACAATGTTATCATACTGTGTAGTTACATAAATATATTAACAAAAAATAAAAATAAATATAAATAATATCAACAATAAATGGATCTGTTTTTTGCAAAGTACAAAGGTTCAAGATATTTATTACTTTTTTTTGCGTTTAATCAACGGCCGGGCGTTACCTACTTGCGTGGAGAGTATGCTTAATACTTAGAATTGTTAGACAATAATTTAAATAAAAATAAATAAACACACGCTATTTCGGTGATTATAATGTATGTATTGAAAATATCTTATTTAATAGTTAAATTTATTTCAAAAAGTTATGACAGTTAATACAATAAATGAGAATCATACGTATTGTTTCACATGACAATTCAATAAAATTCAATTACTTCCATTGTAGAACCTTGTTAATTGAAATAAAATTTTTGAATTTCGCAAAGAAATTGTGGAATCAAAAAAAAAATTAGCTTATTCTATGTTTTGTATATATATTAGCGTCAATCTATGTGCAAATTAAAATCAATAATAAATTCAAACATTTCAGAAGAAGGGAAAAACGGAAACTATCGCTAAGTCCCGTGCCTTATTTTTTTATAATATAATAGGATTTAATCCTTTATTGGGTTAGTCGCCCAGTCATATGTCACTGTCGTTTATCATACCTTTTAAGACTGCGTCCATAACAAATAATGCACTTTATAAAATTATCTATAAGCACATTATTCTAAACTGTGAAAAGTAGTAAAAACCATTATCTCTTTTCAACTTTGCATAAAATATTTGTCCAAAAACAAATGAGTAATTGAGTAATGTAAAATGATTACAGAGCGTTTCTATGTATAATGAAATAAGCAGAATGTCACTCTTAACTAAGTAGTTATGAACGTGAATGACATTAAATGATAAGTAGAGCGTTTATCAAGTTTATAATTAAACAAGACGATTAAATCTAGAACAAAATACATTTTTTTCATGGAAATTGACATTTATTGGAAAAAAAATTACACTATTTCTATATTACGTTCCATATAGTAAGTCCATTACGCCATCCAGCTTTTATGACCGTAAAAAATGAATTACCGTGATGCTCAGTCGCGCAGATTATTGGTTAAAAAGCAATACATTTACAGCCAAGACATGTTCATGCATCATTAGATAAAATATTATAAGCCGATGGTAATTATATTTCAGCGTTGCCAAATAAATCGAGTATCTGATACTGAATAAAATTAAATAATAAATAATAAACTTAATTTTGTTTTATTATAGAGTACAGCTTCTGATAGTGTGTGGCGAGAACATTAAAAATTATTACGTTTCATTAAATCCTCTTAAAGTTTCATTTTAAACCTTACAAAAATAACAATAAAACGAATTTTAAAAAATCACTTATATTTGAAAATAATTTGAATAATTTATTGCTGCTAAAAGATGCACGTAAACTATATGATCAGATACAATTCATAGATGTTTTACTGCTCTAAGTAAATCAATTTAGTTGCCAAATGTTTATTAATCATTTGAGAGAATTCGTGTATTTTCTTATACAATTACCATCAAATAATAGTAATTGGATAAAATTCAATGGACAAAAGTTTAAAATTATTATTGTGTAATATAAAATATGAAAATAAATAACATTCAAGTACCTATATTGATTATTCGTCAATATTACCTATCATTGTATATTATATTACACTATGAGACATAAAAAAGATAGGTTAGTAAGGTTTAAATTATTCAATATATTTAAATGTATTAAAATATAGTTTTGTTTTGCTTAGATTTTTTTTTGTTCTTTGAAAATTAACTAAACAGTTATGAGAAATATTTAAAATTGAATTGGTTGATTGCTTGCTTGCAATAATGAAAATTTATGATTCCAAATACTATTTATTCATCGAGTAACTATAATACATATAAGATGCCTAGTGAGTGAAATCGTGGAAATTATAAACTTTAATAATAGACTTTCGGTTAACTCATGGACCTACGGATGACAACTGTTTTAGTATACTCTAAATTCTACGTTGTGTAAAAGGAAAAAATAATTTGTACAGTGAATATTGTTGTGTTGTATACAGGAATCGTTAGCTGGGGCCATGGATGCGCCCGTCCAGGATACCCAGGAGTTTATACAAGAGTAGTAAAATATTTGACTTGGATCAAAGAAAATTCCAAAGAAGGATGTTATTGTTCACAATGATCAAAAATAATTAAAATAAAAATATTTTGACATTTAAATTATTATTAATTATTAGAAATTAGTTTAGTTTTGTTGTGCATTTGTGATATATATCTACTATAGTAATATTATTTGTTAAAATATTTATTTTTTAAATATGTGAGCATTATATATTAATATTGTTAAATTGTTAATGAATTTGAATGTGATTTATATATTATTATGTAGGAAAATTATAATGTTAAAACAAAGTTAGCTTTTAATTTTATAAATGTTTATAGTTATTCATTATTTATTTTCTGAAAAGGTTATTATGTAGTAAAAAATTCAAAAAATATAATATAAGTATCAACAATGGTTATTTTCAAAAAATGTTTAAAAATCTATTATTAATGAAAGAAGCAATTATAAAAAAATCTAAAATATATTTTTATAGGTAAAAAATAGTTTATGACGCAAATAAAATATTGATTTAGAATGATTTAAAATATAAATGTATGTACTTCATTTTAAATGAAAAAATTATATTTTTACTATCTACATAAATATTTTAGTTTAATATATAATCCTGTAATCCTTGTTGAATGATTTTCATAGCACCGCAATACACATCGCTAATTAAACTTAATCGTATTCTGTGTAAATAGCAATTACATTATTCGAAAAATAACTAAAGCTTTATTGGTTAATCATAATTGTACAGAGTACATCATTTTAGATCCTATTCTTACCCTAATAATAATTATAATTATAATTAATCTAGTAATTTAAAAATATCTCAAAAAAACTTTAAATCGATTATAGAAAATCGTATGCATAAATATTTCCTTAAAATTTTTACCATTTTACAAATAGTTATAACAAAAGAACACTTTTTAATAATCCCCATAATTATTTTTACTATGTATAAAACATTTAAATATTATTTCAATAATTATTTATATTTACATACTATTAACTCTTATATTTTTAAATAAAATAGCTTCACTAGTAATATAAAGTTAATTTAAATTAACTTTGGACATTCTTAAAAAAATCAATCACTGATTTTGAATCTTTATGTTTTCAACTAAGAAAACAAATGAACCCGAATATACACAACTTCTTCCCTAAATAAATTAATGACAATGCACTATACTTTGACTAGTGAAAAGTAAAAAATCCCATTTAACAAAGAAGTGATCTTAAAGCTTTTGGAAACTAAGTTTTTAAATATCCTTTCCATATTTTTTAGGGTATTGTATTTGGCTATGACATATACTGGTAGTGCTTAATTTAATATTTCTGAGCAATTATTAAAACACGTACGTGACTTCAGATCAGCTGTATACAATACAATATTATAATGGTTATTTAACCAAAGAAACTAAAAAACTATGGGAGTTTCATTCATCCAACAACTATTTTTACAGAAATATTTCGTTTATAAAAAAAATAATTATTTATTCGTCTATTAATACCAATGTATATGTTGCTATGGATTTGATTAACAACAATAATTGTAATAATTTGTTTTTTAAAACAAACACAGCATTATTGGAACTAATTTTTTGACATTGTTTGACAACCATCCAAGACTGCGATTTCAGATTTGTAATACTCGAAAGTTATTACAATAATATTGATAAAAAACAAATTAATATTTCAAAAAACTAGAGAACTATACATTCAAACATGAAGGTAATAAGAATGCATTTTTTGAATTAATTTGTAGAGTAAAAAACATCTACAATCACAAAATCACATTTATGGTAGGTGAAAGAAAACTAACTCTTTAATTAACTTTATTTTCCCGCAATGTCAAATTATATATAATTTTTTATTCTTTTATTATCTGTATTAGAATACCCAATCGATATAATTCATTATCTTAGGCGTGCGCATGGAGGCAACTATATGCTGCCATTTTGAACTTTTTTGGTCTGCATGCACCATTACGGGCTTTTGCATATTTCACCTCCATAAAATTATAATATAAATATATATTGAAGTTTTGAATACCATTGCGTTTAAACATATTATTTGATATACAAAAAAAGTGTTCAATTGCTTTAAATCCAAACAATTCAATTTGACCAAATATAAAATTTTTGGACATTTTCTTAAATATTTTATTTATATTTCCTCATATTGTCTATAATATTTAGCGGTGTCTAGCAGAATGCGAAATTCCGCAATTCCGAATGAAGGTCGATGAAAAACAGGCCGCGACAAATATTGTTGAAAAAAGAAAATTATCACATAATGATACTTGCGAGACTGTCGGAAAACGAGTATAGTGATTTACATTCTGTGAGTACATTATAAAACAATTTAGGTGTATCTGTTTTTGTCTTAGGCCAAATTTCTTATAGCTACAGAAGCAAAACATAATGTATTAGCAGAAGAATCAGTCATACCAGAAAATGTTGATGCTCATTGCCAGTTCTCCAATCCTGGTACAAGATCTCTAAAAATGGTCATCCGTGTGCCCAAAAAATGTCAAATTAAAGAAAAACAGACTCCCATTAAAAAAACTGAATTGGTGCACAATGACTCGAGGAATTGCCGAAAAACGGGTATACTGATATATAATCATTAATAATAATCGAAAATTAAATTATTATTATCTATTGAGTTATAGTACATTATATTATTTTATTGTCATAGGCCAAATTCCATACAGATGTAGAAGAAAAACAAATATAATAGAAAAATCAGTGATTCAAGAATATTCTAATACTCAATGCCAATCCTCCAACCCTGGAAAAAAATCACTAAAAATGGTCATTCGAGTACCCAAAAATTGTCAACGTAAATTATCTTCTGCGGATATGTAGAATTATTTATATCCTAATATTTTAAAATATTCAATTTTATTTTATTTTGTGCATTTGAGGCTGTATAGTAACCGTCGCACAGTGACCCGAAAATGAAAATAGTAGGCCAAAAATAATTTTATTGAATTTCAAAAAATTAAAATTTTTCTTTTGTATATATTTTCTACAGAACTTAAGGTATACAATAATTGTATATTGTAATACAATTATTGTACTATAATAATGGCATAATGTATTTATATTCATGGAAAAATAAAACATTTAAGTAGATAAAATGTATATTATTTTAATAAATACTGCGATTTTTGGTTCGTAATAATTTCTTAATTAAATTGTCTCCACCAAATAAAATAAATGTCAACCAAAATGTTTTTGTTTGATACATAAATATATGAATTACTGATATTATTTAATGACCCAATTATCATATAACGATTATTATCGACCCGTAGTAGTAGTGAAAATGTATAAGTTTTTAAATATTACAAAGATAAATTTATACGTTTTTAAAGTTTATAAAATTAATAATGTTTTTCACCGAGCTTCACAGATATATTGATATCATCTAATTAACCATTATCTATTGAAAAAAATGTGTAATATTTAGCTGCTCATTTTTGCGCAACTCATTGTAGTAAGCCGTTGAATATTGTAAGTCAATTATTTTATTATGAAGAAACTCTATTTATTAAATAAAAAAATTTAAAAATATGTCTTTAACTCCTAAACTTACACGAATGATAATAGTAATAAATATTTAGAATAATATAATTTACATAAATTAACTATTTTCAAATGTATTGTATATAAAGTCTTATTTTCGTTCTTCTTGATAGTTTTTTAGATTTAAATAATTAAACTAATGAGTAGTAGCATTTGTTGCCAGGCATAATTCTCCTGTGTATTTCCTCGTGGCTATCAGCCTGTGAATTTATATCTACTCCTAAGTACTTAAAGTTCCAAACTCTTTCGAATTACATGTCTTTTATTGTTATAGCAATTTATGGATGTTCTCTCCAAGATACAATCATGAATTTGGTTTTATTTTCATTAATAATAAGCCCAATCTTTCCCGCTTCCTCACTCAACATTTCGGTTGTTCTCTTCAGGCTATCCCCTGTCTCTGCTATTACGACTAAATCATCTGCATATGTGGCTAATGTTATCTGTTTTCCTTATCCTATATTCAAACCTTGCGTTTTGTTTTGCGTTATTCTTTTAATTACCGATTCCAAGGCAATGTTAAATAAGACCGGAAACAAAGCATCACCGTGACTTACCCCTATATTTATTATAAGCTCCTCTGATATTGCTGAATTGAATTTCACTTTGCATCTTGAATCTATGTTTTGCATATCGTTTCAGTCTATTTAAAATTATGTTTGAGAGTACTTTATACGATGTGTTAAGTAGGGATGTACCCCTATAGTTTTTACAGTTCATTATATCTCCTTTTTTATATATTGGGCACAGTAGTGATACCTGCCATGGTTTGGTATTGTTTCTTCTTTCCATACTTTGTTTATCAGTTGTTTTAAAAAGTCTGCTCGCGCCTATGTTTTCGACCAGATTAAAAATAGGCCGATTCCCTTTTCGACCAAAACAAAAATGTATATAATACATTTAAAACAATGATGTATTGTCAATAATTATTAAAACATTAATATAAAAGAGAACGATATTTTGTATCTAGTTTTGATCTCTTATCGTAATGATAATTGTTTGCATTTTTTTTTCAAAAATCGAAACTTTAATTTTAAAAATTTCAGGACTTCACTCGTTACGCCTGCTGGTTCCACTCACTGGGTAGCACTTTTCGGGAGAATGGAACTTTGCCCCAAGATGAATAATAGTCTAAGCCTAACCTAGTTTTTATACAAACTTTTGAGAGTAAGATAATGTTTTGTATGTGAACCTAAAATCTTGCTGCACGAGTAAATCACATATTTCGACTGTTAATAAAAATAAATGTAAGATAATTAGATGTGAACAAAAAAGTCATTTTGAATTTATAGAAATAAAAAAATAAAATTATACAATGAAAATAAAATAGACAGGTATGAATATGTAAAATGTTTATATTAATTATAATTATATGACAAGCAATTTTTTCTCGCTAATAATTATAATTTCAAAAATATCTATTGCGGAGTTACGGTTCCAAAAAAAAAAAAAATGTATGTTGTTGAGTTACGGTACTTTATATACAGTAATTTTATAAAATACTGATTCGTGCGCAGCTACGATGCTCCCGTCTGGTGTACACCAATATCGACCTAAGTCTAATGTCTGGTCGGGGACCGAAACTGTTCTCATTTCGGGCCGATCAACGCGTGTGC